CCCGTGCAGGGACCGCGCCCCCTTCGTCTTCACCTCTGACATGGCTTATGTCATCAATGGCGGCGATAAGCCGTCCAGCCGCTTCCACGACTTTGTGGATCTGTGCTGCGAAGCATACAACCTGATCCGGAAGCACGCTCACCTGTTCCTCAACCTGCTGGGCCTGGTGTGTCTGACTCGCACAAGCACACACTCTCACACGGACACACAAACACACGGACACACGCAAACATACACTCACACACGGACGTAAATACAACATCTGCTACAGGAACCAGGAAGTTAAGCGTGTCTGTTTGTGTGTCTGTGTGTGTGTGTGTGTGTCCAGATGTTGTCCTGTGGGATCCCGGAGCTCTCCGACCTCGATGACCTGAAGTACGTCTATGATGCACTGAGACCTCACGAGTCTGAGGCTGACGCCACCATGTACTTCACCAGGTAGGCGCGGGCTCACCTGCACAGATGCGTCCGACCTTCAGGACAGAGACGAGTCATCATGACCTGCGCTGCAGACGGTCTCCGTCCAGGCTACACCTGCCGCCTTTGTTAACGACCTCTCTGACCCCGGCAGGTTGATCGAGTCCAGTCTGGGCAGCGTCGCCACCAAACTGAACTTCTTCATCCACAATCTGGCCCAGATGAAGTTCACCTCGTCGGAGGATCGCCCCACGCTGTCGTTCGCCCCCAGGTTCCACTCGGCAAAGAGCGACGGCGTCATCAAGAACCTGTACATCTGCAGACACATCCGGACCGGCGGAAAGGGATATGTGAGTCCAGACGTGCCCGTGGGAAGCACGTGGGAAGCACGTGGGAAGCAGAAACTAACCAGCTGTGTGTGTCTGTGTGTGTCAGGCTTTTGTGGTGAAGGTGGAGCGTGAAGGTCAGCAGGAGGTGCAGCTGGTTCAGAGGACGTTTGAGGAGTTTCAGGAGCTCCACAGCAAACTGAGGCTCATCTTCCCCTCATCCAAACTGCCCAGGTACACAGACACACACTGACATGCACACGTGTGCTCACAGACACACACACTGACATGCACACACGTGTGCTCACAGACACACACACTGACATGCACACGTGTGTGCCCACAGACACACACACTGACATCCACACGTGTGCCCACAGACACACACACTGACATGCACACGTGTGCTCACAGACACACACACTGACATGCACACGTGTGCCCACAGACACACACACACTGACATGCACACACGTGTGCCCACAGACACACACACTGACATGCACACGTGTGCTCACAGACACACACTCCGAGCTGCACAAAGGAGCTTTGCAGAAGGTCCTTCCTCCTGTCCTCTTATCCCCTCCCACAGTTTCCCCAGTCGCTTTGTGATTGGCCGTTCCCGCAGCGAGGCGATGGCTGACAGGAGGAAGGACGAGCTGAACGGTTACGTGTGGCACTTGATCCACGCCGCTCCGGAGGTCGCTCAGGTCAGTGGCTTTCTGGGTCTGTTCTCACATGAGTGGTGCTCGGGGGGGCTGTAGCTCAGGGGGCAGAGCAGGTCGGCCACTAACCAGAAGGTCGGTGGTTCGATCCCCGTCTGCTCCAGTCTGCTCGCCAAATATCCTTGGGCAAGATACTAACTGTGTGAATGTTAGTTCGAGCACCTAAGAGCTTAGAAGAAGTGCTTGAATTAGTTGTAACTTTGAGTGCTCTGACAGAGTAGAACATATAAGAGTCCATGTATCTGATAGTAAGCCGTGACATTAATATTATACAATAATATTCAGATTGTTAGGCCTCCACACATGACCAGGGCCATGATCGGGGCCACAGCACCTCACAGGGTGCAGTGAGTGTCATGTTGTCATTCTCGACCAGCATCAAAGCTTCTCCACAGTTAGAGTGTGTTTGGCAGCAGTGATAGCTGCCTGGGTTCTGGTGCTGAGCAGCACCTGCTGCTCTGCTGTGTTATGAAAGGGGCTCGCAGGCTGTCTCCAGGCTTCGTGTGGCCCTTGGAGATTTAGCCGTGGTGTTCAAGGGGCTTTGTGGCCAGTTTAGGATGACATAACAACAGGATGCAGCTTCAAACTGTACACCAGTTTTTTTTTAATTGTGCTGATAGGCCACATAAAAACCAGAGTTAGGGTGAAAAATATACACAATGTTTTTTTCTGAATCGTCGGTCGTTGTGT